TGCAAAATTGGCCAAAAAAATTTAAGCATTAACTGTTCCTTTCAGTATACCAATAGACATCAGAAATATAATTGTACTACTGATTTTTCCCTTTTTAATCAGTGCATAGTTTGTAGGGAGATACTTTGAAACAATTTAATGTGTTTTTTAATAAGTCTTTCACCCACTAATTTTACCATTCATTGATGATTGTTGCCAGAATTAGTGTTATATTGATTACCAAATGATTTTCTGATTTATCTACATTTATTAGTTAGTATTCTAAAGTGAGAAAGAGCCTCCCTTTCTTCATGATTTATCTCCTCTTGTTTATATCAACATGGACTATTTGACTATTTGACTCAGTAGGTTACAGTCTATGACTGTCTTTTAATGCTCAGATGGTTGCATATTTGGCCAGCCAGCAGCCCTCCAAGCCAATGCCTGTGTACTTTTTATAAGCCCCCTCATTTTTTTAAACATGTCACTTGCTGGCACATTAAGATATTCAGGCTTGCTTTGTATTTTTCTTGTGTGAGCTCTGGAATCTCTATTTCTGAAACTTTATTTTCTAAGATTTACTCTCTGGTGGAGAAAGCTGTTTAAAAAGCAAATGCTGACTTTTGGAGTCATTGATACTACGACTTTCAACAGACAGAGCCAGGGACTGTGTATGTGTACAGTTTATATACTTATGTCTGTACCGGTACCCATTTTAGTCTCTCTGTTTCCCTCCTTCCCTCCCTTCTTCCTTCTCTGACAACATGAGCTCACAATGACTCCTCCAATTCCAACTGGATCCCTCAGCACATATTGTGGATTTCCTCCTTCCCATAGCTGCAGCTCGCTTCTCTGGCAGTAAGAAACTCAGGTCTTCATAGTCTCCCTGTCCCTAGTCCTTACTGATTTCTGCTGTGTGTAATCAACCTTCTGATCCTCCCGCTGCCTCCTGACCTCAGCCTCTCAGGCTCCCCTGCCCCAGTCATGTCAAGGAAAGGGAAGAGAGTGAATACATGGTTTTCAAAGTGAAGAAAGAAAAAGGGAGAGAGAAAGGAAGAGCAAGGGAAGGAGAAGGGGAATGGGAGGTCTTTTTATCTGTTTTTCCACAGTCTGGGTGGCCTTGCGAAGGGCAGAGAGCAGGAGATGTGCGGAATAGAGGAAGAACTTAGTGGAGATGCTCAGAATCTTCCAATGTCTAGAAGCCCCAGGCTCCTTTTCCTCCACTCAGTCATTCTTCTGTAATGAGTGTGGAGAGACAAGGGCTGTTTGTCTTCATTTCAAAAGCCAGAGTAATCCATTCTGTAAGCAAAGACCTTTCCTTGTCAGGATAATGTTCAACTTAACCCAGCCCTAGCTAACCCATAAGCCAACAGCCGGCAAGGCCACTGACCCTGGATCTGAATGGACTCTGTGAAGTCCTGCATGTAAAGGAACAAAAGTCCCTGACCAAAGGCAGGCAAGCAGGAGTACTGGCCTCCTCTGGCGTGCTGTGTTTACAGGACACCTGGAAAGACCTGGAAAAAACGGGAAGGAGATTAGAGTTCAGGGTTGGGGCTCAGGTTAGTGCTCCATGGCAGGGTAGAGTCAGGCAAAATTGTGAGACAGGCACTACCTGTCACAGCAGTGGCTTCAATCACCAACTCCTTGGAGACAAAGTAGGATGCTGGGAGAAGAAAGGAAGACAGAACTTTGGGAGCATTCTGTGAAGTGGGCCAGGACATCAGGTATTGAATCTCAGGTAGAGAAGTTCGCTCCCAGAAGTGGAGTTGATTCCCAGATCTATATTTAAAAACCATATGCACAGTGCAAAACAGCAATGTAGTGTGGGTAGGGGAGCAATCAATAAACACAGGAGGATGTCACAGCTGCCAGGCCTTGTACAAGAGGAGATCATGGTTCCCCTTTAGATTCACTGGTAGGGCTTGCCCCTACCTATAGATACCCCATGCCTATAGATACCCTGGAAGTTGGAGTGGTTTTGTTCATTTGCTTGTATACCTTAAGATCTTCAGGTTGAATAGTGAATTAGGCAGGTTACTTAAGCTCTTACTGCTTCAGTTTTCCCAAGTAGGAAATGGGAATACTAATGCCTGCTTCATCAACTTATTGTGGATTCTAACTTAGCAATTAAGTTACTTATGGTAGTACAGTAACCTGAACATTCTTATTCTCTTCCTTATTTTTGTCTATGTTCTGATCAGTATCTCCCTGCTTTTAGTTTTGTGTGCACAACCTCCCTCGGCTTGGCCCCTCAGCCCCATCTGTATCGCAGAGCCCTGCGCGATGCAAACTGCTAGATCCTAGAGAATGCCTTCTAGAGAACAGAGCAGATAGATCCTGGCAGTGTTTTTCTCTGTGCATCAGTTACCTGTGCCTCTCTTCTATTCACCTGTTCATTCTTGAGGACTGGAGCTTGATGCTATCATAGGCAGTCTGTGGAATAATAAAACGGGCATGGATTAGATTCCAAGACTGGGCTTAAGTCTTAGGTTACTTAGAAGCTGCATAGCACGGGACAAATTACTTATGTACTCCTAGGCTCCATGCTCTCATGAGTAAAAGGAATACAAGTCCTCCCTTGTCATAGTGAGGATTACTGGCATGCTATTGAGGAGCTGGCCCTGCCTGACATGACAGTCACTAATAGATGGAGATAACTACTATCATCATTATAGAACCCCTAGCACAGACAACGTACTGAGCACACAGTCAGTGGATTAATGAAGTGGGTCTGCCTGATTTTCTAATGGCTGGCTCTCTCTTTTGCTCCTGCACCCTTCAACAAAACATACCCTGAGAAGCTATGTTAACAAGCCCTACCAGTGAGTATAACTGGTAGGCTTCCCTGTAGTCAAGGAATTTTGGAACCTAAGAATTTGGGCTCAATGTCCTGAACTGTTCCCAACATCATGTGACATTCTTGGGAGGTGCCATTAGCATTTTTTGTCTCAAGCTTATTTTAGAATTTACTCCTCATTGCTCTTTCACCAAAGGAAGTGAAGTTCCAAGATCTTCAGATGGACCCATAGACAGATAGCTGTTTAAGCTGAGCAGAGTCTAATGCTCCCAGGGCCAAAACAAACAGAACCCCGATCTCTCTGCTGCCCCCACAGCCAATGGCATTGTTTAATGTCCCCATTTTGCATGGGGACTTTCCATGGAAAGAGAAAAATCAAAGTTCACTGGATTCCCAGTGTTCAAAGTAAACCTCTGATCTATACAGATTTATAGACTTATAAACAATTTGTGTCAATTCTTGGTTTCTATAATCACATGATCTAGCCTTTTTAGTTGTCCTAACTAATACCCATAAATAGACCTTTGTAAATATATACAGCTTGTTCATATGTGTAATTCAACAGGTCTTAGCAGCCCCACAGGGTGCCATCTACCTAAAAACAGCTTAACAAACCTCAATCCACAGCCTTCTCTCTGAGGGAAGGGATTATGGGGTTTCAAGAGAATCACAGAACTGAAGCAATGAATGCACAAAAAATTATATGCAAAGAGGTGTGTGTGTGTGTGTGTGTGTGTGTGTGTGTGTGTGTGTGTGTTAACAGGGGAAGTTCCTACCTTTATTAATCTTCAGTGGGGTCCATTAGTACTTCCCATATGTTGAAATCCTTGGCCTTCTTTCCAAGTTCTTAGAATAGGGAGGAAGTGGAGATGAGGTACAGCAATCACTCATGCCAATGAGAGACCCCTGTGATACCAAAGTCTTCAACTCCTGCCTTAGCTCTGCTATTTAGGACTACAAGTTTATTCTCCTGGTGGAAGAAACAGATAACAGAAACTCATGCCTTAGAGTCAACAGTATCTAAGGCTTTGGGCAACAGAACCTGTTGATTTGTGAAGAGGAGAATCTTCCAGAAACCCCAGCATAAAAGATAGGTATGCCTGTGTATAGCAGAAGTTAGACATCAGCCCATAGCGCGTGACTGCTCAGGCTGCCTGTCATGCAGCTAGCTGAGGTCAGCCAGCCTTGACTGTCTGCTTCTCTTTGATAATGCACTGGGCTGACTTGACTGTGTCCAGCTTGTGTTTTCCTTAGTTAGAAAAATATATATTGTTTCCAACCTGCTTCAAGGACTTCATGTCTGGGACAGACTGGCCCAGTCAAGGACCCATTTAAAGCTACTTGCTCCACTCACAACTGCCCCTACTCCTTCCCAGAATGTTCCTGTTTAATGATAAACAATTTAAGTAAATCCACCTGACGACATATGACTTAATTCATGTAATCCATGTATCCAATCATGGAATAACCTGCTATCAGCTTTGCACTTCCCACTGCAAACCATATTTAACCTGAACTCAAACTTGTCTCTGGGGTGGTGATTGACTCTGGATTCCCCAGGCCACTAGCATAATAAAAGTTGCCTTCTAACTCCTCAGTGCGAAAGGTCTTCCATTTGGTTTGATATTGGCTTTTCTGTACCACTACCAAAGGGTGGAACTATGGTAACCAATTAAGTAGGTGGCAGTTTATTAAATACATGCATTTAGTAAATGGTACTTTTAAATAAATTACAAAATCTGTGATAAACCGTTTTAAAAGAACTATGTGTATCAGTCATCATACTTTTAGGAAGCTGGCAAAATGAGTAGTAAGATTTGAGTAAGATTGAGTTTGCAGTAATTTTAATATTTTCCAATAAACCTGAACTAAGAGTTTGACTCCACTTGACATTATTCACAACAAATGTTGAAATATACTTTTAAAAACCACAAAATTATCCCTTATCTCTTTCATTATGTAAGCCCTTGATACCGCACACAGCAGGGCCATCAGGTCACCTTCCCATCACCACTCACACTTTCTCCAGGCAGATTCATGGCTTAAACTGTAGTTGGACGACTTGGCTCTTGGGTAAAATCATTAGAGTATAAGGAGAGAAATTGAGGTTATGTTGTAGAGTTCTTTTAAACCGGTAAAATTTAATGCATATTAAATTCAGAAGCATAATTTTAATATAAAGAAATATGTTTTTCCAAAAAAATCTGAGAGCATTTAATGAGGCTTTCAAGGACATAATTTTTATTTGCTTTAATTTTTGTACAATTGTAATTGAAAATTAGAAAAATAATTGATATTAGCAGACATCCACATAGAAATGAATGAGAATTGGTCCCGCCGTATTGAGGCTTCTGGCATCTGTGTAGCTGCCTGATCAGTTTTTAATTCCTGTGGAAAAGGCAGGCATCCAGAAGTTCTGCAAAGTATAACACAGGAGGAAGACCATCAAGTGCTGCCAGCACTTACAAAACACAGTTCTGCTCCTAACTTCTAACAGTAAATGGTAGTTAATAAAGACTTTTTACAACACACACAGACATATCCTGCGCCCTGTCCTTAAATACCTGCATTGTCCTTTTGTCCTGCTCTCATCATCTCCAACACATGATATAATTCAACAAAAATTTAAGAATACTCAATGATTTCATTGTCCCAGCTCTAATGTTATCCCTCCAATTCCCTTGTTTTTGAGGCAGCTATGCCATCTAAAATGTGCATAATGAGAAAGGGCCTACTGTAGCATTAACTATGCTTCTTAAAACCATTGAAGAGTGGCCTCTACGGTAGTACATATAGCATGTGTCGTTTCCCAAGAGGTGTTCGCACTCATGTTTGTTTTGTTAAAGGAAGCACACTTGAAAACAGGTTCAACTCCCAAGTGATCCCAAGTTTCTCTATACTTCATTTCTCCTTCAAACACCCTATGCCTTTCCAGATAGTGTCTTTCCTTATGGTCTGATTAAGTGGCTCCATCTGTGACTGAGTTCTCCTGTGGGCCAGAAGGAAGCCCCCACATCTTTGTGTTCCTATGCACACTAGTCCAGGTGTGGCACCCTGGCCCTTAATACAAATATGTTTTCTGTGATCTCCACTATATTTCTCTTTGGTGTTTCATTCTACTTACCAGAGGTTAAACATGGTCTCAAGTTAGCCATAGCCATAAGATACTCTGGCCCTAAGAATTTTTCATAAGTTGTTTTGTTCCCTAGGTTTGCCAAACATTCCGTGTCATCGCTGAACAGCAGGTCCTTGCTTGAGGACTCGAACAGCTGGAACATCATATATTCAAATCCATTTCTTCCAAAGAGCTCCTGGGTCAGACATACAGACAGTGAGTGACCATGGGCTCCAGAGAGCACGGGGCTATGACTTCTGCCTAGGAGACCTGAGTCTGCTGGACTGCTCAGCTCCAGCCCCTGGGAAACCCAAGGCATAGTAATAACTTAGGAGGTGCACGGCAGAAGCATGGTCTCTGGGTTCAGGTGTTGGCCCTGTTTTTTCTTTGTTGTGTAACTGTAGGAAAATTCTCTGTTGAGCTCAATGAGCCTTAGTTCGCTCATTTGTAAATAGATAAAACACCAGATAGTACAATGATGTATGTAAAGTAGCTGGCAAATAGAAAAAGCTCTACGCTTTCCACTTTGCCACTATTTCGCCAGCCACTGCCAGATGTTTTCAACTTTCTGCATCATACTTTCATGTCTTTCTGCTGCTTGGAACCCTTGATATCTTGCCTCTTCTGTGATCTGGATCAGCCTCAGGTGCCCAACCATTTCCACCTTTTTGTGCTCCCCCTTTTGTTCTTTGCCCATTTCCCTGTGGCCAACGTGACAGTTTATCTATGTGGGACTTGCCTTGTAACGTGTTCAATGACAGGGCCATAATTTGTATGTATCCCTGCCATGTGGCTTGTCCCATTAGGTGGCTTTTTATTAATTTTATTAGTAAAAAAGATGAAGAAAAGTAATTAGATCCATTTATACCATCAGTGGTTCAAGCTGGCGGGAACATGTTAAAAGCCCACAACAAGAACCTCTTATGCTGACAGCTTTTCCTGGATCGTGATCCTTTAACTGGGATGTATGGTATATACTAAAACATAAACTTCTCATTTGCAGAACCTCCAAGAATGAGGAATGCTAGTGCAAAAAGCAGAGGAGGCTTTGGGCTTTCCCCCAAGATTATCTGGATATGTTATTTGAATGTAGCAATTCCCCAGAATTGATATCATTATTCTGTGTTGCAAGCAAACATTAAAACAAAACAAAATAAAACAAAAAGCAGTGCCCAGGCTGCCCAGCTTGCAAAAGCATATTTGGATCCACCCATAGGTCAGGCAGAGCAACTTCCATTCTGCTTTTCCTGCATTTAAACTGAGCCTGGCAGGAAGGGCACGGAGCCAACTCCTTTACCTCTGCCATAGAAGACAAAGACAAGGTTCGTTTTCATGGAGTAACTGAATAAGTCCAGAAAGGAGCCAGGAATCTGCTCGAGTGAGTCTCAAGCCAACACTCAGATGCTTATATGTCTAAGCTTTTCTCAGTCTGAGACATCCCCAGAGCAGGAAATAAACACAGACACAGCAGTAATCAGAGGCACAGCTGGAAGACCCAGGTCCCCCTGCCTGGGGAGAAAGTGTGTGAGGCCGGGCTGGGTGCATCTGTGCATCTCCACAATGGAAATAAGCACCCAGTGGGCAGGGTGTGAGCCCTGCGCACCCATACCTGTTGGTTGAAGAGTATTCTGCGAACGAAGTCTGCCTTATCTTTCCTCGAGATCACAGCGTGATTTGGCACCGTGGCCAGGTGGCAGCTCTTAGCCTCAGTCACAGGTTTCTTGGTGCCGTCGAGGCACAGCAGCTCGAAGTCTTCCTGCTTCAGATCCTTAGCCCACACCTCAGGATTCTTCCCTGGGAAGAGAAATCTGGATCGGCCACAGCTGACAGCCTTGGTCAAGGTACCCTCACCGCGGGAAGAACCCACCGCCAGTGTCTGGGAGTCACTAAACACACACATGCATGCACGTACACACACACACTAAAGAGAAAAACCCACAAAATCAGAACCTTTTTGTTAGAAAATGTTCAGTCCTATTAAAGGCAAAGATTTCTTAAAACAAGCTGGAAAAAGAACTAGCCAGAAAGGGAAAGATCAATAAGTTGAACTATATTAAAATTTAGAAAATTCAATCAAAACATACCACTAAAAAAGTGCAAAGGTGAGGCACAGACAGGGACAGGATACGTTTCCATATGCATAGCTGGCAGAAACTTGCACCCAGAATATATAAAGAATGCATAAATCACAGGAGTCAGACATGCAGACTCTCTGCCTATTGAGCCCAAGGCAAAGGTGATAGTGAATGCCCACCCCAGACTCTGAATAGACAGGAAAAATTTTCTCATTCCCTAAGTGGACAATATTATGATATTATTAATATAAGTCACTGGATCCTGGTAGGGTTAATAAAACTCCCCAATTTCCCTGTTAAAGGTGATTCCACACAGGACACTCGGAGTTTTCCAAGGTAGCAAAGGAAAGGCAGGCACATACCGTTAGTGTTCTGTAGGACTGCGGAGTGCTTCACGAAGGCTACATCTCCCTTCTCGACCAGACACCTGCAGAGCAAGCACTGGCTCAGTGAGGAGTGGAAGTGGAAGGGAGGCAGGGTCAGTAGACGTGAAAGGGGGGCAACAAGAGGGAGTCACATCCTTTCTACATGTCCAACACTTTCTCACAAGCAACCGTAACACCCATGTCATCCCTGGGCATTAGAGTGAAAGTGATAAAAAGGGAGAGCTGCCTATTGAGTTTAGGTCACAGACAACCATTGTTTAGGTCCTCATTTCAGATCCTGATGAGTTTCTGTAGAGGGGATGCTCATGTTGTCCTGGGAACAGGGGTATCCAAGGGGTGACTCTCTGATTGGACCAGCATTCATAACATCAGGACTACAGTGAGTGTAAAAGAGGTGACTTTGGAGGAGTTTCACCTTACTCATATGTCTGTGTAGTAATAATAAGAATGAACGTACCTCACTGAATGCCATGATCAGGTGTCTCTGTGTTTCAGATATATCCTTTCTGAGGAATGTTGAACACATTAAAAATCAGGTTTGTGTCATTCAGTCAGTTGGAAATGACTGTTAATGATCAGAGCACCTCTCACTCTCTCTCCTGACTTTAGATGCCTCCATACTAACTAACGTCAGTTACTCCCACTCAAATTTGCTGAAGCCTCTCACCCTACTTTTCTCCTTTACACCCATAGGTTGCTTCCTGGATCATCAAGATCATCTATCTTAGGTGCCCTTAAGGTCAGGTAGACAGAGACCTTCCTGATCAATAATGTCATCTGGGCATTCCTGCCAGCCTTCCTCTACTCTAGACCAGCGGTTCTCAAAGTTGGAGGCTAGGAACCAGCAGCATCAGGACCAGGAAGAAATCTGTTAGGAACTCAAGCACTTGCCCCACAAGACCTGCTGTTGGGTGAGAAACTCTGGAGATGGGACTCTGGAATCAGCCTCCACCAGCCTCTAGGAGGTTCTCACTCATGTCCAAGTATGAGCTGCTGCTTCAGACAGCCAGGCACCTACTTTGAAGTATCCCCACCTTCCGCAAACCTGTCTCTCCACACCTGTCTCTCCCTGCCACACACATGCTCTGAATGTGTTCCTGTCCTAGTGAACAGCAGAAATCATTTCACGACTTTCTCCTTGCAGCCGCCCTCCAGGCCTGCCAGCTCGTTCTGGTGGCTCTCTCCCACCATGCCGGTAAGAGACCAAAGGTTGCTCGCTCGACAAAGGCGTCCTCACCAGGTGCTCTGCAACCCGGCCCTGTCCCCACCTGTGGGAACCTTCTGCTGGATACTCTTTCTCTCATAGAATAACCTTCCCTCGTTCGCTGGAAATGCTCATCAGCATTTATGTCTTTTATTTAAAACCCCAAACCCTTCTCCCATTCCACACTACTGCCTGCAATAGATCCCTTTCCTGCTCATTCAAATGCTAAAAGGAATCAGCCTTCCTTACTACCTGGCCCTCCCCAATCCAGCTCCTAGGACCAGTTTACTCAGTGCCAGGGTTGCCAGATCCAGGGCCAGTTCTGAGCACTATTCTATGTCCCCTCTCAAGTCATCTTTTCCCCAGTGATTTTCAGTGTCATCCTTGTTATAGACCAAAGTGCATCATGTCTTGGATTTCCCTGGAAACTTTATTCTTTTCTACTTATGTATTTGTCATTTTTGTGCATCAGCCATCCTATGTAACTGTAATGTGATTTTTTTTAAATCTAGAAAACACAAAAATTTGTGTAATTTTACTTTGAAAATTGTGGCTCTCAGCTGCACCTTTGAGCCTAGTTATTTTTTTGAGAAGGGACTCCCTCTGCCTCAGGCCTACCTGGTCACAATGGAGGCAGCTGTGTCTTTAAATGTCACTTCACTGTATGAGCTGTCTGGGCAGGAAGCTTTCCTCTAGAAATTGGGAATAATATGTTATGGTTTCTGTTTGCTCCTTTACACTCGCGGTGCTGTAACAACACTGGGACTGCTGGTCCACATGGATTGAGAAACAGAGAAAACCACCCTGCAGGAGGGAGCACGTGAGGCAGAGGTGCAGAAAGGGGAGGGGCATGGGTAGGAGAAGCAGAGAGTCTCCGGAAACTAAGAAACCATCCATTGTTTATCTGGAGTGCACATCTGAATGGTACGTGGCAATGCAACCCTTTAAGCATCTTGGCTGCCTCCTGACTCAGCCCCTCACACAGAGGGAGCCCCCAGGGCACCTATTAAAACTTCCCCTTGGCATAAGCTGGTTCTTTCAAGGTCTTCTCATACCAAAGAAGTCCTTATTCATTTTACTAGAGAAGAGATATGAAACGAGGTGAGTAGACAAAATATGGCAAATGCTTCAGAATAAGTGATGAAAAAAAAAAGCAAGAGAAAGGGATGTGAAATTTTAGAGACAGTAGCCAGGAAAGATTTCCCTAAGAAGTCCAAGAGGAAGAGAGTGAACAGGGTGTGGTGAGGTGAGGAGGAAGAGCATTCATTCCAGGTGGGGGTTATGCAAGTCAGAGGCCTTTGAGCCAAGCGCCTCAAGGAACCAGATTGCTGAGATTATTGAAGCAGAGAGCAAGGGGATAGGAAGTAGGGATGAGGTCAGGAGGGATCTCTCCAGGTCGCAAAGGGCAAAGAAAGGACTTTGACTTTTATCCTGAGTGATATAAGAACTCATTAGAGGTCTGAGCAGAGAAGTCTAATGCTTTGATTCATGTTCCAACTCTAGGCGGTGTGTTGTGTGGAGAGAGACGAGAGGGAAAATGCATACAGCTTTAGGTCATTATAAAAATCAAGAGAGTGGTGGCGTTTTTTGGCCAGGATGGTGTCAGTGGAGGTGGGTGGTGGGGTCAATTCTGGTACCTTTGGAAGGTAGAACTGACACGATTTGAAGATGAACCATACATATAAAGAGTGTGAGAGAACAGAGGAGACATAGATAATGGCAAAGTTTTGACTTTTTTTCCAAAAAGGAAAATGGAGTTTCTCTTAACTGAGATGGAGAAGACTGGAAAAGGCATGTCTGGGTGGCAGTGTGTGAAATTTCAGGAGCTCAGTTGTGAATGCTTACATTTGAGATGGTGGTTAAATAACCAAGACAGATAACCAGTAAGCAGCTGAATATATGAGCCCAGAGCTTTATTTGGAATTTGGGGGAGACATCAGAACTGGAATGTGAACTTGGGAACTGTCAAGCTATGGATGCATAGAGACTCAATAAAACCATGAAAGATGGGGCATGAAGAGAGAAGACTTGTGAGGATGGAACCCTGGAGCATGTCAGCATGTTGGGAAAGAGGTTTGGAAAGTGAAGTGGAGCCAGTAAAGAGCTGAGGTGCAATATTAGGAGAGGGAGCGAGGAATACAAGAATCTGGTCTTCTGGCAGCCAAGGAAGAAAATATATCTACCAGGAGGAAGTAACTAGCACAGCCATTGGTGCTGGTAGATCAAGCAATGCAAGATCTAAAGACTGGTCTTCAGATTCAGCAGCATAGAGGCATTTGGTGAATTAAAGGTGTACTTTCAGCTGCATGGTAGACCAAAGGGAGAGGTGGGGCAGAAGTAGTCTGCCTGGGTGCCAACAAAATAAGGAGGTATGTTTTTTAAAACCAATAGTAAAACTGATTCCAGTGGCAGGAGAGATACACAGATTATCAAATTAGGTTCTGGAAAGACTGGAGAATGAACTGTCTGAAGCTAGGATTGCTCTTTCTGGGTTCATCTTTATTTTAGTGTGATACAGTTCTAGGAAGAGCAATTCTAGATGCTCTGTACTGTCATCATAATGATATCAAAATGGGACTGAACTTGATACCAATCTACTTTCTAATGTAAAGAAAAGTTAAACTATTTCAGCTTAGCTTTACCATTCAGCATACATTTCTGTAACTTACGTATGGCTTATGAAAGAGACAAAACTCTGGAGAGGGCAGGATGGAGTAGACTGCTGGTGTCTGAATAAGAGTCCTTTCTAGAGTCTCATACATGGTCCACACACCCTTATTTGGACAATAAAGTCCTACTGTCTCAAAGTGTCCAGCCCTGTTGCACTTAGACACAGAACTACCTTCGCAAGCAGGTCTGTCAGGCTAATACCTGCTGCTCCAACAGGTCACACACCAGACCCCTCTTTCTCCACACTTTGCCCCCACCGACTTTCTTCACTGGCCTCAGCACCACATGACTTGCCCCTTCCCCATGCCCTTTGTCTTGATGACCCTTCTTCCTGTATTACTCTTCCTCCAGATTTTTCTCAGGCCTCATTTCCACTCTAAAACCATGAGCCACAATAACCTCTTCTCCTTATAAGCTTATTAGTGCAAGTGTTTTGTTATAGTGATGGAAAACTGACTAACACAACCTGTTTGGTTCTTCCACAGCACTTACATCTGGGAAGGGTCTTATCCATTATGTGTTTATTGTACTGTTCTTCCCATGGGACTGTTGGGGGACAGAGACAGGACCATGTCCATCTTGTTGGTTGCTGTAACTTCTCTACCTACAATAGCACCTGCCACACATGAGTAAGTGCTCTGTAAATAGCTCTTGGGTGGGTGGAGGAGCCTAGAAATATCTATTTTTAAAAGATATCCATCAGCCAGATATAAGAAGCAAAGTATCTGTGTCCCTCTTGTGATTTTACACTGAGGCTCTAACAGTTTCCATGACTTGACCATAATTATACAGAAGAAAGGAGCAAAATTAGAAGCAGAGAAGTGGCTTAGTAACCATCAGTCACTCTGGTTCCTCTCCAGGGTGCTGGGCTCCCTAAGTTACCTGGGCATGTAGGAGAGTTCTCCAGAACTGGGCTAGACTTTAGTTGTTGGGGTTACTCCGAATTGCAGTAGTTCTGTTCTCTAACTTTGGGTCCTTCTAAATCAACACCAAGACGCTGGGCTGAAGAAAAGGGTGCGACCATGACACACTGGAGTGGTACAGCACAAAGGGGGTGGACAGATAGTACTCACCTGAGAGCCCCACTGGAGCCATAGTACCTCTCATGGCTGTTGGGAGCACACAAGTGGCTTCGATTGCTGCTGCCACCACACAAGGCACAGAGTTCAGAATCTGGATTAGACCCAGGAGCACAGCTGTGACTGAAGAACTCATCTGTAGGAAAGGGGAACCAGAGTCAGCTCTTCCTATGACATCAGCAAAGCCTCAGGATCATCCCTGAAACTGTCTGGATAATGCAAAGATAGAAGCAGTTATTTAGCAACTAATCACTAAGAACAAATACCTATGAAATTAAACAAAGATTTCAGCTAGAGCAAAGTGAAAGAGAACTGACTCAAAGTGGGTCAGGGTCTGAACTCACAGGAGCCCATCTTGTCCTGGCAAAGAGAAGTAGTGCTGAGAGAGGAGACACAGATTTTAGCCCCATGAGAATAAAACAGTGGAAGTTGTGGCTGGTTTAACCTAACCACATGTTTTCTGACCTGTGCTGCCCTTTCCCCTCACTACAAGGTTTGCCACTGTGACTTCAAGGCAGGAAGAGTCTAGACAGACGCAGCCACCAAGCCCAGTGCCTGCAGGTAGCACAATAAGGAAATCAGGCACAACCCTGCCCTCTTGGAACCTGCAGTCCCTGGGGTAAGAGCCAAAACTCAGTTAACCACACCAGTGATTTCATGTCCCCCGACCCCTGACTCTGTGAAGAAATAAAGATAGAGGAACCCTCCGTAGACCTGGGGTTCAGGGAGAAGCCTCAAGATGAAAGATGAAGGATAAGTGTCCACAAGTGAAGGGCAGAAGGTGGAGCTCCTACACAGGGGGCAGCACGTGCAAAGGCCTGTGTTGGCTGGAATGGGGGACATGGCACAGAGAGCTTAATGGAGGCCACTAGGGCTGGACCACTGCGAGAAGCTGTGAGTGAGGATGGGGCAGGGTTCTGACCATCTGGGACCTTTCGAATCACTGCAGCTATTATTGTTCTTTATCCCTAGAGAAATGAAGGGGTCTAGACAGTGCTGGGCCAGGGTTAGTGTGCAGTATGTAGTCAGATATGCACTTTGCAAACATTAGCCTGGCACAGGGGCAGGTAGGCTCATGGTGGCCAGCTACTGCAGTGGTCCAGGGAAGATGAGGCAGCACGGACTACAAGAGAGCAAGGGGCGGGAGATGGGTGGAAGAGGGAGAAGTTAGTATTGCTTACAGTGGACGGGAAAGTGGAGGGTGACATGCTAGATCTACAATTGAGCCAAATGGATGAACTGTGTGGTCCTCCACCACCCAAGATTATTGTGCTACACAACCAAGCTTGGCCAGGTAGTTGCATTTAGTTTTGGACAGAATAAACTTAATGTGCTTTTGAGATGTCCAGCTAGATAAATCAAAGAGACAGTTCAATATACATGTCTGGTATCAAGGAGAAATATTTGCTAGGAATAAGAACTTGATGGTTATCAATACTCAGATATACTATCAGTACTAATGATAGCAGTGCGTATTTGTCTAGCACTAAGCAAGCGCCCGGCTTTGCGCGTGCAGCGCTCCTGATGGAACTCGAGGCTGCACATGTGGGTGTGACGCTTAAGGGTTAGGGTTAGATTTGGGAATCCAATGGCTTTATGCAATAGAAACATACCTTAATCAAGTTAGTAAAGGGGGATCGTGCAGGGGTAGGAGATAAACCAAGCCAGTGTGCTTTCAGTGTTCCAAGGCAATTTGAGGAAACGCTGCTGAGAGATCAGGAGAAAAGAGCTGGAGCACAGAGTTCCGGCTGAGCAGCACAGAGGTCACCGGCGGCCTGGAGCAGATGCAGACGAGCTAGGCAACAGGGAGTTGAGGAGTGAGTAGAAGGCAAATGGTTCAGACAGTGCTTTCATGACTTCTAGCAGTAATGGGGAGGAGAAAAAGAATTCTGTGCTGGAGGAGAATGTCGGAAATGGGGAGTGTTTAAAGGGGGAAGACACTGAGTGCTTATACAGTGAAAGAAACTCTTGGATCTGCCAGATGGCTGAAACTCTGGGAAGGCAAGTGACCCACACCCAAATGCAGGTAGAGAGGTAGGCCAGGTAGGGAGGACACTGGGGAGAGTTGGCTCTCCGGAGGCCCACAGCCTTGTCTGTGTCCTGCAAATGCATGATGGATCATCTGCTGAGAAAGACTGGCAGATGGATATACTTGGAGCTTTATGGACAATGAGGACATTAGGATAATTGTGGAACGTGTAGGGTGTGGAAAAGAGCAATAATGGGGCACTCCTGGAGGTTGGGGGAGCCATGAGGGACAGTAATTAAAGCATTTCCATGGACACCACTGATCTGCTTTGTGAGGTTCCTAGCTGTATTCAGCCACTCGGCTGCCGAGGAGAGCAGGTAATTGGGTTCATGCAGGGCTGGGATTTGTCATATAAGTGGGGAAAGAAGAAAAGCAGAAAGCTTTCAGGTGCTGGCAGGAGTGCAGTAAAATGACTAGTGTGGGGATCCAAGAGAGACAGTATGAACACGAAAGACACAGCACTGCAGGCCAACCCTTCAAGGTAGATTTTCAATTAAGAAAGTGGCCAATTTGGTTTATATGTGAAAATCTCACACACACACACACACACACACACCACCACCACCACCACCCATGCTTTGCCTGTTCCCCAAGCCATTCGTGAGATATAACAAATGGGGTTATTTCCCTAAGGTCTGCCCTGGGACCAAGGCACTCCCCTAAGAAACAAGTGGACGAAGAGAAAGGGAGGACCTGCTCAGCCCTTACTGTCTGTCAAGCCCTTGACTCCACCTGACTCAGAGCGTACTTTGCCCACCATTGGAACTGAATTTCTCCCCTACCCAGGCCCAGGCCCAGGGAAGAGACTACCACAACTCCTCCAGAACACACTCACCAATTTTACAGGACCTGGTTTGGTTGTATATTAAACCCAAGGGGATGTTCCAGCCTGCAGAAGTGCCAACTGCAGAGTGGCAGGACTTCTTGCCTCGCAGAGAGCTCCAGGTGATATCGGCATCTGATTTCTTAACCACAGCCACAACATAATAACCTTGCAGAGGAGACAGCAAGATGCAATTTCTCCTCTTTTTTAGGGAGAACAAAGGCAAGATCTGACCAGCCCTCCTTCAACCAGGCCATTTAATGACATCTGAATGTGGTGGATGATATGAACTGGGTATTCTCCATTTCTGCTTCATCTCTGTTGCCTGGGGTTTTGGAAACTACACTCTTAGTAGTTCTTGCAACTACACTCTTAGTGTAAATCAGGCGTGTAAGACAGGGAAGGTGGAAATGATGCAGGGGCCTTCCCCTTAGCTCTTTTGCTAGGGAGCAAAGTCTGGAAGTGTGAGCTTTTCCTGTACAGCTCTCTAGGATCCCTTCTCCACCCTAGCAGATCAGAGGCTATCACAGGAGTTACAGCAGCAACAGTGATATTGGCTCTGGCTTCCTCCCAGCCACAGGAATGTCTTGAATTCATGGTCCTGAAGCCTTGCAAGTGGCAGCTCTCCTAGGGAGTCAGTTCCATTACACTCTGGCAGGAGTTATTCCAGGACCTGGAGTCTACGTCTGCTAACATTTGATTCCCCATCTTACCTTCCCTCCTGCTTCATGGAGTGCTTTTGTAAAACTATTCAGATTCTTTTAAACAATATTTTTATTGGTACATGTTTGTAGTATGTAATGATTACCTTCATCATGGAGAGTTGGCACATGTACACGATATTTCTTAATTCTTTTTTAAAACTCTTTCCCTTCTCTCCCTTTCCTGTACTCCAGAACCTCTGTGGTACATGGAGGCTGCAGGGCCTCTGTGACCCGGTGCTTAGTAGGGGAAACAGTCCACGGAATGCTGCCTGTGCCGTGGGCTGCAAACCCCCTCAGCTCCCCAGATCTCCTGTCTCATAAAAAACACTAAACCCGAGTAAGCCCCTGGTTTTCCCCTCATGGTCTTCTATCACAGTGGCTTTCAGTTTCTTAAAGCATAAATTGCTAGTGCCATCCACAGAGTTTCTAGCTCAGCAGGTCTAAGGCCAATCAGGTCCAAGAATTAATTTTCTTTTCCAATAAATCCCCATGTGATGGTGATGCCATCGGCCCAGGGACCAATGCTCTATCTATTTCCGGAATTAAGCACTTGAGTGACAGGTACAGACCCTCTCTGCCTATCTGCAGACACAAGACAGAAGAGCCTGTGACCTGGAAGTGGTCTCCTCTGTTAAAGACCAGGGCGACTCTCATTCTAGCTGGCTATAAGCCAAAGGGTGGGTTTCATTTGCCTCCTCTTCTCCTCTCAAAACCTCTACTCAGCCCCAGAAGTGCCAGGCATGGCCCCTACCTGGTGCTGACCTTCATGCCGAGATGGGCAGGCTGCATGTGACAGGAGCAGAGGGTGGTGTAGGAGGGCTCAGGGTTCCCAGTCCCTCCACCTCCTCTCAATCTCAGATGCAGGAACCTCTGGGCTGCATGGCTGTGTGGCTGTGTGCAGGCCACCTAGTCCCTGAGCCCCACTCTCCAGATCTGTGTGACACAGGACAATAGTGCCTACACTGCAGGGTTGCTGAGGAGAGTAAAATGGGTGTAGTGCAAACAGGAGTCCTTTGTGAACTGTACAAAACCCTACAGATATGATCAGTGCAGCTTTAGGACAGATTTGCATGTCAACAATGAACTGGGGATACTTTCCCCACCACAACTCATAATTTTTGCTTGTTTTTAAGGCTTCCTTCTCCCACTACACAACAAGGGAGCTCCGGTATTACTGATTCTCACTCACCTTCCAAGGGTGTATTCACACACTTAGACCTAAGCCGCTCATTGCTACCGTTAGTCCCTAAAAAGAAAGACAGACACATGGTTCATAGCATTAAATTCTCATACTACTCCATCCAAACTTGTGAGCTACTCAGTGTCAACTTTCAAGAATAAAAGGAGAGCCACTAACTAAGCAATCTCATTGGTTGTCACCTAACCAAGTTTCTGTAGGCCCATGTAACCTCTCCACCTGCTCTTTGCCATTTGAGTCTTAGGTTTTGTTCCAGAGTCTTCTCAATACTCAGGCAGATGCCTCCTAAAGGGAAGGAAAGGCAGAGACCACTCCACAGCTCCTGAGTTAGGGGGAAGCTCTAACACAAGCTACTTGGCAAGCCTTGTGCCAGCTCTGCACCATGCCCTCTAGTATCACTCTCTCAGTATTATTTTCAGCTCTTTCTACCTAACTCTTGCATCGTGTCTTAACTGGTTATGACTCTGGGAAAAAGGATTTTACCTCCTAGCTCCCTATACTCCAACAATAGTTATTATTATCCTATCACAGAACTGTATTATATCTTTATGTCTATCCCATCTTGTCCATGGTGCAAGGAGACAAAAACACAGAGAGGTCTCCCCTCTGCTTACCATAGTTCTCTCCCAGGACTGGCACCAGGCCACACTGGCCAGCTATGTAGACAAATCCTCCATCCAAGGTCATGGCATCAGCTTCTCCTTTCTGAAGTAAAGAAAGCAAAAAATAAAAAAAAAGCTGTCTCTCTGTTGTTTTCTCTTCTGGTTGCATAGAGACCCCTCCCATTCCACTATAGGCAATTCCAATTCAGCCCTTCAGCTGCTCAGACATACCTTTATTCTGTCTCTTTAAAAACCTAAAAACCCTCTATCCAGGAGGGGGAGACATCAAACAAAAAAAACATTTATTTTCTTCTGTAACACTGTTGATACATAGTAATCAATAACCTAAACACAGGACCTTCAGCTTCCAACTTCTTTGAGACTTAAACAGACTTATCCAGTGCAATGGTAAGCGGGCCACAGGTCCTTGTGTGCAGGCTTTCTTTTACCTCTCAGTCAGCTCGCTCACAGTCCTGTGCTACTTTCCAAATTCTCCTTCTTCACTACCAGCCTACACCACCTCTACTTCTGTGCTCAACCCGGAACTCAACCCTGCAGACCACAGCCCCTACCAGACACCCCTGCTGCCTCCGCCCTTCTTCACTGCCACCATCAGCCACCATCACCGGCCTCCCTGTCCCCTCCCTCCCTCTTCACCCTCCTTCTCTCTGCCCACTGCATATACTCCCCCGTCAACTCCCTCCTAAACCAGAACTGCAGGGGTCTTGGCCCCCGCATCCAGGACATGGCAGAGGCAGAGGACATTATCCACATACGCATTCCCTTCTCCCGTTTAGACTTTGCCCAAACTAAAAGTGTCTGCATTTCAGCCACCCTCAGGTCCCAGTTCAGCATCCGGTCTCTCACCCACTAACTTCCTCTTCATTCTCTGTCCACTCTGTACTCTGATGCCCTTTTTGCCTTCTAACTCTTATGGATGTTGCTCTCTACTGTTAAAATAACAGAAATAGTACAAGAGATCTCTATTGCGATTCACCTAAAAATTGGTAGCCCCTAGAAAAATAAACACAGATTATGTGTCTCCTGTGTTTGTTTGCCTATTAATCTGTGTTTATGATCAACCTTGGATGTGCCAGACAAGGTCCCACTGTGCTGAAAAAGCAGCTACCTGTACCAGTTTACTTCAGTTTTCTCCATGATGGGTGGCTTCTCCAAGTTTTCCCAGGTTTCCCAACCCCTAAGATTAAGGGGAATACTATTGTTTATTAGTAAACAATACAATTTAATAAAAAAATCTGTGTAAGGTCACATTGGCCATGGTATGCCCCCTTCACCCATGGCAATAACAAAGACTAAACTGCAAACTCCAAACCCATACCAAAGAAATGCAGGAAAAGAACTGAAATAAAACAAAATATTAATGCCAAGGGAAAACATTGAACAAAAGATAAAGATTAAAGGAAAAGGTTTCAACAATCAGACTGAGTTCAAACTGGAATCCAAACCCAGGTTGGAGCTGGGTGTGGTGGCACACGCCTGTAATCCCAGCACTCAGGAGGCTGAGGCAGGAGGATCGTTGCGAGTTCAAGGCTAGCCTGGTCTACAAAGTGAGCTCAAGGCCAGCCTGAACTGCATAGGGAAACCCTATCTCAAAAAGACAAAAATAAATAAATAAATAAACCCTGGTTGGTATTGAGAATAAGTCAAACTCCAAGACCAAATGTCAGGTAAAAAGCAGCTCTTGTGTTACATAGGGCCTATACTGGGTCCTGACAAATAACAAGCTAAGATGGTCTCAGGATGCCAAAAGACAAAACAACCTTCCTGACCAATGAGGGCCCGTTAAAAAAAAATCTTAACTGATTGGTAAATTTACTTTAAATTCTGTGGCTTAAATTAAAATTATTTTGTTTGCTAGACTTGCCTAAAACATTTTTTATAAATAGCTTTAGGAAGATTCTTGAACTACACTAACAGGATTGACTTGCTTTTCTGTTGGTTTCCGTGTGTACTGAGGTGATTTGTCATTCAAGGTCATATAAAGTTGTCAGCGCTAGGTAAAAGTTAACATCTTTCTTCTTCTTTCTACTTTCTGCTGGTACTAAGACAATTTACTGTTCAAGGTTATTTAAAAGTCTGTTCGGCCAGCATGAAAATGTAACGTCTGTGAGTTAACTCTAAGATAAAAATGTACAAGGAAAATTTTTCAAATCCAAGCGGTTACTAAGCTTGTTACAAAAACAAACAAAAAGCAGTGAAAAAGACTAAAAGAAAAAAATTCAAAACTAGGAGATCCAGGTATGTCAGAATATTTGCAGAGGATCACGCTTATAAAAGGAAATGCATGTTTGGCCATTCTGTTTTTACTCTTGTTGGTTTGGTTAGGCCTAGGATCTGTTCCTTTTAAACCTCTTTGTTGCTCAAATGTAGTGAAAAGGGGCTATGACACTAACTCTAAATCATCTGTAACTTCCCCTCCAACATGAGAGCAGATAAGACCAACAGCCAGGACAGCACCCTGGCATGAGAGACAATAACAAACAATGGCTAATTAACAATGTCTTCAGACAAGAGGGGATATTTTAAAAAATGAAAGCTGTCAAAATCAAAATGGAGTCACTTATGTCAACTCCATCAAAGGATAAATGGAGCCAAGAAGTTATAAGAAAGAGTTCTTTCACTTAAATGCCTGATTGTAACTATCACAAAAGACATTATTTGGGTCTGGCTTTTTAACTTTTCTTTGTAAAAATGGCTACTAATGAGTATTCCTAGATAATTATCTTTGGTTCATGTTTGTACATCTTCTCCAGTTTATTTCTTTCCGAATTCCACAGTTCCCAATAATAAGCCTCAAACCAGTGCCTAAACCTATTACAAAAATTTATTTGGGTCTCATCATCAGTTTAGGTCTCAACTCTTAAGTACAACGTCACCCTACCTCTGATGATCAGCAAACTCAAAGAAAGCCCCTGAAGCCATATTCACTCAGCTCAAAAGAGTTACAGATGTGATCACTTCATCTTTTATTAGTGATTTGACTTTGTTGAATCATCAGGAAAAACATGGTGACAAAACAGTTAAAATCCCCAATTTTCTTCAGTAACACACTTCTGCCCAGCATCTGTTGGACAGTCATAAAACATTACACTAATGAGGACTAAAAACAGCACAAGATAAGAGTAGATACAAAAACCATCCTTTCCTGAGCCAAGTGTGGTGGAGCACACCTGTAATCCTATCACTCAGGAGCCTGAGGCAGAAGGATCACCATGAGTACAAGGCCAGCCTGGGCTACATAGTGAATTCAAGGCAGCCTGAAATGCATAGTGAGACCCTGTCAGAAACAAATAAACAAATGAGCAAGACCATCCTTTCCTCCCCAGAACTAATGGTACAAATAGTCGGATTGTCCCCAGACCTCTGGGAAGGGGGCCAACCATTCCAAATCCAAGGCCAACTCCATCCTGTCCTTTCCCAGTCTGTTGAGATTTGCTGTTGGTAACTAACTAGGCCCCAGTTCTAAAGCTCCTGCAACCTCCAGCAACAAAATGGAAACCAGGGTTTGCCTAAAGGTAGCAGGTGAAGTGATCTCTTTTTGTTTAGATACAGGAACAACATACTTGGTTTTAAAGCAATATGTGGACTTCTAGTTCTCACCTCTCTCTGTTGTAGGGATTGATGACCTTATCTCCAAACCACTCTGTACCAATTCTGCCTTTCAGAATTAAAAACAATAATTCTCACATATTATTTTCCCAGCACTCCCAACCTGTTCCACTCCATTAACAGGACCAGATATATTTTCAAAAGTACATTCTACAGTTACCATCCAGAGCTCCCCAGCCTTGGCTATGCTTCTTCTCCTACTCCAAGTCAGCCCCCTCAAGTGAGATGCTAAACACTCCTCAGTTGCTTCTCATCACACTCTTATCAAGGTTACCCTCAAAAACCCCACCTCCTTCCCCAACAAGACAGAATATCCCCTTAACCCACAGGCCACGCAGGGACTCCAACCCACTATCTCCAAACTCCTCTCCCTCGACTTCTTAAATCCACCAGTTCTCCTCACATCACTCCTATCCTAGCCATAAAAACAAATGGAACTTACTGTCTAGGCCAGGACCTACATGCTATCAGTGTCATACTCCCTACAGCCTACTTCTCAAAGCAGTTAGGCAAGATGGTCCTGGATGGCCAAGCTGTCTTCACATTTTAGTGGCAGGAGCTCTCCTAATTAGAAAAATCCCAGGTTTGTTCTATTCCAACATCTTACAGTCTATATCTCTCATTTCTTACAGCCCACACTAACTCACTACATTCATGCTACAAACCAAAAATATGTGAGTAGATCTCCTACTCATTGTTTCCCTACACATTCAGGCCACCCCCACTTACTCCATCTCCTCAGCTCATTCAAACTGATTTATGGGCATCCCTTTGTTCTTGGCCACACTCCTCCAATACATCCTCTTTCAGACACTACCTGCCATTTCTCTTCCTAATTAGCCAACTTCTACAAAACTTTCCTAAAACCTCACTCCCCAAACTTGACAACAACCCCCACTCCCTTATCAGTCCTACCAGGAGATAGTGCCTACCTCCAAAGCCCTCAATCCCAAACCCTGTAAGCCAAAGTGGAAGAGACCCTATACAATTATGCTTACCACACTGACAGCCACACAACTTTCAGGTCTTTCCTCTTAAATCAATTTCTCTAAACTAAAACTCATCTCTAAGAATAAAAAAGCTCAACTCCACACATTTCCCACAGGTAGAAATTCCAACTGCTGATAACTGTGACTCTCTGTCTCCTGGCCATCCCCCAAAAAAACCAATCAATGTGATGCAAACATGAGCCAGCCCATGACCCATCCCCTGCTCCTCTCTGACCTTATTCTACTACTCCTTAAAGACTCCCAACTGGAGATTCCATAGAGTTTTTTCCTGATAACCTCTTGGCCTGACCAGAGGGCTTTCTACACCACTGGGTCTCTATTCATCCACCTCCAAACTTACCATGATCTGCCCCAATCTCATACTTGTTCTTGGCAACCGCTCCTCAGCCACAGTTTATATTAGGTGTCCCCCAAAGCCTCATGTGAAGGCTTTGGGGAGGTGATTGAATCATGGAGGTGTGATACTCATCAGTAGATTAGTCCACTGGTGGGTTTATGGCTATATGTGATATTGGGAGGTAAAACCTGGTTAGAGGAGGTGAGTCATTGGGGGTGTGTCCTGGAAGGTTTATTTCCATCTCCCCACCCTCAGTTGCTCCCTCCTTCTTGCCTGCCATGCCATGGGTAGTTCTGCTGTTATGTCCCTCTTCCATACCACTCTGCTTTGGAGACAGCTGACTATGGACTGAAATCTCTACAAATTGAGCCAAAATAAGCCTTTCCCATTTTAAACTGTAGGTGTCAGGTATTGTGTCTCAGAGACAAAAAAAAAAAATAACTAAGACATCCCCTTCTCTTGTTTGATAATATCAGCTCCTAAAAAAGATTTACTTCTAGCCCAACATTTAGAACATGCTGTTAATCTCACCTTCAGTCTTTTAAACAGGACAAATCCCTCTGTGGCCCAAGATTTCTGGTTGTGCCTATCTCTATCATCTTCAGCTTATATACAATCCTCACCCCCAAATCAACCTGGATAAACACTCAGACATAATTTACTGTACAAAAAGATTTAAACCCAACCTTTAAAGATTTGACCAACACCCTCTTAAATCTTACCCAACAGCCTTGACAGACAGAGCCACCAAACTCTTTCTGACATATTCCACTAACTTCTCTAAATTCCCTACAACTTCCCACCCAATTATTGGTCTCATAACCCTTGACACTTCCTTTTTATTTCAAACCCCCATTTACATTAACCATGGGCCAACACTTAACAGTCCCTTTAGGGAAAACATTTCTCAGTGAAACCATGCCATCACTGTCAAGAGCCCCAAGACTGTCGGTCTCATCAGATCAATTATAGTATCTCACCTGAGACAAATGAAAAATTCACTCAACTTGTCCTTTCCTTTGGACCACTACAATCTTAATCTCTTCTCCAGTCCTAATTACTCTTAAACCCTCCAAACTCTTCCCATGGGGTCTCATTAACATCTCACCCTCAAAATAACTTTATCAATTCTATGTATAACAGGGGCCTCCTTGACTGGTTTCATCTTGGAAAAAATGAGCCAAGCCTTCTAATTCCAAGAAACTATCCTAAATGTTTCATTTGTAAACACTACAACTGACAATTTTAAAAGGTTGTGTGACTAGCAAGGTCTTAATCTTACAGGTTGATACCAGGAGGTTTACCAAAATTAAGATCTTCTCAAGTTAAGAAAGACTGCTGTACAGTCTCCTAAGTTTATCAGTTTTTCAGTCTTTTATTTATGAATTTATCTTTTCTAGTCACAAAAATATTAATTGCTCAGAGAAAAATGGAAAGTTAATAACACCACAACTTCATCACTCAGAAATTATATCATGATCTCTGAATGATGAAAATATGAGCTATTTTAATTATTTTTCATTTATCACCCTGCAATTTTTGTGGATCAGAAATAAAATTAAAGACTGAAAATGTTGCTCTGTGTTCCCAGCCCACAGTGGCTCTGGTCACAACCTGAATGTACATCCACTTCCCAAGGCGCCTGGACAAGACATATCCCAAGCTCCCTGGACTTCCCATTTGAGGCCCCAAGGAGTCCAGGTCTTGGGTTGGCTCTGAATTTATGCTGTCTCCGAGCTGAAGGGGTACAAGTGGTGAGTAGGGTAGAGGTTTAGAGGATGAGAGCCAACACGCAAGTACTAGTATGGAGGCTGAGGAGGAAGGAAGCACTTGAAGAAGGCCTCTTTCATACCATGCTGGATAGTCACTGAGCATCTGAAGGCCTGAGCTCAACTGTGGAAGTGGGGCTCTCCTACCATGATGGCAGCGATGCAGTCCTCAGTTGTGTCCTCCATGGTACACACCAAAGCGCCACCACTCAGCGCACTCCACTCATCACACTTGGCCCTCTCATGGTGGCTCACTGCACACCACTGCACCCTCCCGGAGACTTCCACACCTAGAGTGGAGTAGAGCAGAGATTCAAGAGAAGCCCAGCTGGCTGCAGAGCTTCCCAACAGGGCTCCCACTGATAGCAGCAGAGTTGCCTGTCTCATTCCTGTTTCCCTGTGTTTCTGGTGTTCAATTTTCAGGAAGAGCAGTGAAAGCAGAGGTCCTTGCTCCTGTAGACCTCACCCCAGGCATCATCTCCTATACAGGCCTCTCAGAGCTCCCACCCAAACCAGGTCCTTCTGGGGTTTCCTTCATAGGACCAGGCTCCCCATGCAGGGAGCAGGTCCCAGTGAGGAGTCATCCTCCTTTGTGGAGGGCGGTGCTTATTCTCCTCACCCAGTATCTTTACTCACCATATCTAATACTTGGAATGCCCTTTTGTAGATGCCCAGTAACTACAGATTAACTATACAGGGGAAAAAATAGAGAAGAAGGAAAGAAATGAACTTTGGGGATCCAGTAAAAGGAAGGGGCCAGACTAAAAACCTCTGGAATTCTATTCTAGTTCTGCATCTGATGGTGGAAGCAGCTGTGGTCCCACTTCAGTTTAGAATAGACTACTGTCCTTGTCAAATAGAACTGCAGCTGAGCAGGTTGTCTACAATATGAAGGCCTTCAACACCCTTTTGTAAGGGCTTGATAGCCCAACAACAGAGTGCTTACCTAGCATGTGTAAGGCCCAGGAGGGAAGAGAAAGGGGAAGAAGAAGGGTAAGAGGAAGGAGAGGGAAAAGGAGAAGGGAAGGAGGTAGCAAGGGATGGGAAGGAAAAACATCCTTTGTAATCAAATACAAAAAAGCTTTCTGTAAGCAGAGAGCTTCTCCATGACTTAGTTCACCTGTGCTCTCCTGCAGACTCTGAGGCCCAGTAATGCTGATTTGAGTTTCACAGGCACTGAGAGAGCCTCAATCAGTATCACCATCTTGTCACACTGCCCAGGCTGGCCACATCCCTCCAAGGCCCTTACATACCTTTCTTCAGATGCTGAATGGCAGAAAAATACTCATATCCAAGGTACAGCTTGGCATCCATTTTTGGGGGAACCCTTAAAAATCCATGGGCAGCATCAGTAAACAGCAAGTCTTTCCCATGAGGGGAGCTGAAGAGCTGGAATTCTGATGACTTGTCCTTTCCAAAGTATTTCTATTCAAAAGAAAAAGTGAAGGAGGGGGGCTGACATCAAGGTAAAAGTAAAGCCAACCTGAAATCAGGTAAGGGAAGAGAAAGGGAGGGACACTTAGTCACCCCCTTATCCACAGTCACGCCTTCCATAGTTTCAGTTACCTGCAGTTAACCACACTGAAAACATTAAATGGAGGTGGTTAGAGAGGTGTGGGGAATTAAACCACCTTGCACCACCTCGGGACTGTGCAGCCCTGGGCTGTCCCCACACTTTCTGCTGGGAGCAGAAAGGCACTCCACAGCACCCCCCACTTTACCCCAGGAAGTTTCAAACTGCAGCAGAGGCTGGTGACGGTGGCAGTGGAACTTGTAATGCAACGAATCAGAAGTTAGCACCTACCTTAGAAGAGGAGTAAGAATTGAAACTGGGCAGCCTTGGACTGCAGTAGCAGGACCAGAGGACCAGACCATATCACAGCACTGCCCCCCACCCCACCATAACAAATGACCTGAGAGGACAGAGACTTGACAGTGGAAGAGGAGCACAGAAGGCTGAGCAAGGACCAGGAGGAGCCAAAGGTGCATGGGACTGGGAACAGCTCCCTGTGTCTGTCTGAAAACAGCATAGCAACTGGGAGAGAGATGCCTCCAAGAGAAACAGGGTAAGGAGTGCGATGCCACTAAGGGACATACAGAAGTACTGGCTGGAGACTGTGCCACAGACCACACATCTGGAGGCCAAGATCAGCCTCAAGTCCAGCACAAACTCTACTGCAAGTATGGCACTGTTATCCACTAATTTGGGGCTCTCCCAGTGGACACCAGAGGAATTTTGGTTATTTTATTTTATTTTTCTTTCTTCCTCTTTCTTTCTTTTTATAGTTTGTGGTTTGTTTCCCATTCCTTTTCTTTTTTTTTTTTTGTCTTTTACTTATTTTTGTTCTATTCATCTTCTTTCCTTCTTTCCTCAGTTTACCTCTCTAGACTTAATCATATTTTCATGAGTGAATAGTTTCTCTAATTTTTGTGATCAACTTCAACAATCCCTTGCTTACTCCTTCATTCTATCTTTTCTGACCCTTCTCTAGTTTCCCAAGGCCTGCATGATCATCCTTTGTACTCCAGGTGGGATTCTACTTTATTTCTTTTCAGTTATGTCTGTTCTGTCTCTTATTCTTCTTCAGTTTCCCCACCACAGGGTAAAACCACTCTACCAAGGGGAAACACTTTGCATGCAAGCTACCAATTTATGATTGGTTCTGTTATATAACTGTAGATTTCACTTCTAAGGTTAAAGGTACACAATTAATAGTTACCACAGTTTGTCAGTTTCTAAACTGTGCTTGATGCTACTGTCAGTGCTAATTATAGTACTTTACCTAGGATGTCATATCTATTTTAATCAGTTGTTCTCACTTTTGTAACAATACTGGGAAGTTCTGGGGTACTAACCTCACCACACCCCAGCACCAAAGGACTATGGACCTCCAGCCCATGCAGAATAAGTCCAGAAGACAACAAGATAGAGGAAAATGGAAGACACACACCTGACAATTCTGAAATAATAGTAACCAAAGTAAAGAAACAAATCCATGAGGCTATAGTGGAAATCAGATCAGAAAAAATATCTCAGGTAAAAAAAAAATTTAAACATTTATAAAGGAATCGCCCAGCAAATCTACAGTTGAGATAGATTTTAAAAATGATGACAAGAAGAGGATGGAAACTGTGAATGACCAATGTAGGAAAGAAATAGAATGCATAAAACGGATTCAAACAGGTAACTAGGTAATTAAAAATTCCACTGAAAGCTGGCAAAATCATTTGAACAAAACTGAAGATAGATTTTAAGAACTTGAAGACAGGATCTCGGCTATCAACCATGAGAGGAAAGACCTCTTCAAAATAACAAAAGATCAGGAAATAATAATTCAACAGCTACAAGATGACACAAAGAAAAATAATATAAGAATAATTGATGTCGATAAGAAAGCAGGAGTCAACACAAATGACATACACACACAAAAAAAAACTATTTGAAGAAGTAATAGCACAAATTTCTGAAGAATGGGAAAAGAATCTGACATACAAATAAGTGGAGCATATAGAACTCCAATTAGCCATAACCAAAACATATCTACACCCAGACATATAATAATCAAGATCCCAGAAATTCAACACAAGAACAGAATATTAAAAGCTGTTAGAGAAAAGAAACAGATCACCTATAAAGGAAAGCCCATCAGAATCATGGCAGACTTCTCAACACAAATTATCAAGTCAAGAAGAGCTTGGGGTGAAGTATTTCAAGTCTTGAAAGAAAACAAAATTATCCTTCAAAATTAATGGAGAAATAAGATACTTTCAAAACAAAGAACAACTGAAGAAATTCATGACCACCAAACCAACCCTACAAAAAGTACTAAAGATATTCTACAAAAAGATAAAAATGACCACAATTCCAAGAACAACAACAGAAAGAAACTACCAAGCAGGGAAAGCAGTTAAACAGAGGGGGAAAGTAGGGAACAAACAGCAGGAAAATAACATGACAAAAATAAGCCAATACATATCAGTTATAACCATTAATGTAAATGGCCTCAATGTACCAATCAAAAGAAACAGACTGGCAGAGTGGATCAAGCAACAACATCTAATGATATGCTGTATACAAGAAACACATTTAACTAATAAGGAAATCCATGGACTGAAAGTCAAAGTATGGAAAACAATACTCCATGCCACAGGAACCCAGAAAAAAGTGGGGGTAGCTATTGTGTTTGCAGACAATCTGAACTTTAAACCAAGAATTATCAAAAGAGATAAAGAAAGTCACTACATACTTGTTAGGGGAAAACTGCAAGAAGAGATAACAACCATAAATATATATGCACCAAATATGGGAGCACCCAACCATATAAGACAAATGTTAGCAGACAGAAAAAATCAAATGAGCAATAACACAGTTGTAATGGAGAACCTTAATACCCCACTGTTACAAAAAGAGATCAACCAGACAAAAAAATAAGTAAAGAACTATCCGAGCTGAACCAAACCTGTGAACAAATGGACTTAGTAGATGTTTACGCAGTGTTCCACCCAACAACATCAGAATACACATTCTTGTCAGCTGCACACAGGATGTTCTCTAGAATAGACCATATACTAGCCCATAGAACATGCTTAAGTAAATGCAAAAGAAATGAAATTATCCTATATCTATTATCTGAACATAGTGTAATGAAATTGGAAATAAATGTCAAAAGAAACCACAAAAATTCCATAAACACATGGAAATTAAATAACACCCTCTGGAACATCCAATAGGTCACAAATGAGATTAAAGAAGAGATTGAACAATATCTGCAATTAAACAAAAATGCAGATAGAACATACCAGAACCTATCGGACACAATGAAAGCAGTCCTAAAGGGGAAATTTATAATGGGGATTTCTTATATCAGAAAAACAACAAGCACAAATAAACAACTTAGTGTTGCACCTCAAGCTTCTAGGAAAAGAAGAGCAAATCAAGCCCAAAGCCCATAGAAGGGAAGAAATGATAAAGATCAAGCAGAAAATACTGCGATTAAGACTAAGAAAACTACAAAGAATTAATGAATTAAAGAGTTGGGTCTTTGAAAGAATAAATAAAATGATAGACCCTTAGCTGCACTTTCCAAAAAAAGTACAGAAAAGACTCAAATTCATAATGAGGAATTACATGAATGAAATCACTACAGATCCTGTGGGAATTCAGAAGATCATCAATACCTATTGAGAAAATCTTTACTCTCATAGGATGGCAAACACAGAAGAAATGGATAAATTCCTAGATACATATTAATTACCAAAGCTGAATCAAGAAGATACAAAATTTCTCATTAATCCAATATCATTCATTGAAATTGAAAATGTAATTAAAAGCTTACCAACAAAGAAAAGCCCAGGTCCAGATGGATTCACTGCTGAATTCTACAGGAAATTTAGAGAAGATTTAATACCAATTCTCCTCAGGCTCTTTAATGAAATTGAAAGGGAAACAATACTCCCTAACTCATCCCTGGAGGCAAGTATTACCCTAATACCGAAACCAGAGAAAGACTCAACCAAAAAGAGAACTACATGCCAATCTCCCTAATGAACATAGATGCAAAAATCCTCAATAAGGTACTAGCAAACAGAATGCAGCAAATCATCAAGAGGATTATGCACCATGACCAAGTGGGATTTTCCCAGGAATGCAGGGATGGTTCAACATACACAAATCAATAAATGTAATACCCCACATCAATAGAGCCAAAGACAAACATCACATGATCATCTCAATAGATGCAAAAAAAGTTTTTGACAAAATACAACACTCATTCATGATAAAAACTCTAAGAAAATCAGAATGGTCTTTATCTCAATATGGTAAAAGCCATCTATAACACACCAGCAGCCAACATCATACCAAACGGTCAAAAACTGAAAGCTTTCACTCTAAAATCAAGAACAAGACAAGGGATGTCCACTATCACCACTCCTATTCAATATAATTCTGGAAATACTAGCCAGAACACTTAGACAAGAGAGAGAAATAAAAGGGATAAGGAAAGGAAGAAGTTAAATTATCATTATTTGCAGATGACACGATACTCTACATAGAAGACCCCCAAAATTTCACATTCCTAACATTTATCTGGAAACAGAAGAGACCTATAATAGCAAAGGAAATCCTGGGCAACAAAGACAAGGCATTCATTACAATCCCTGACTTGAAATTATACTACAAAGTTACTGTGATAAAATCAGCATGGTACTGGCAAAAAACCAAACCTGAGGACCAGTGGAACAGATTACAAGATGCAGACACAACTACAAACACACTCGGCCACTTATCTTTGAGAAAGGGGCCAAACATGTTCACTGGAAGAAAGATAGCCTCTTTAATAAATGGTGCTGGAAAAATTGGCTCTCCACATGCCAAAGACTAAAACTAGATTCATGTCTATCACCATGCAGTAAACTAAAGTCAAACTAGATCAAAGATCTACATATTAAAACAGAAACACTAAATCTGCTGTAAAAGAAAGTAGGTAGAAATCTTGAAGACATAGGTATAGGTAGAGAGTGCATGGACAAAACCCAGACTGCACCGGTTTTGTCAACAACTGGGATCTCACCATATTAAAAAGCTTTTGCACAGCAAAAGAAATGGCCAACAAGGTGAAAAGACAACCTATAGAGTGGGAAAGAATTTTAGCCAATTGTCCCTCAGTCAAAGGACTTATATCTAGAACATATAAAGAACTGAAAAAATCAGACCATGCAAATTCAAAGACTCAATCCAAAAATTGGCATCTGAGGTAAATACATACTTCTCAGATGAAAAAATACAAATGGCAAATAAATATATGAAAAATGTTCAACATCACTGGTCATTTGAGAGATGCAAATTAAAACACTGCTGAGATTCCATCTCACCTCAGAAAGAATGGCTATCATCAAGAAATCAACCAATAACAAATACTGGCAGGGCTGTGGGGAAAAAGGAACCATTTTCTACTGTTGGTAGGAATGTAGACTTGGACAACCACTATGGAAATCAGTGTGGAGATTCCTCAAAAAACCAGATCTAGAGGTTCCACTTGACCCGGATATTCTCCTTCTGGGTATCTTCCCAGAAGAATTAAAAACATCATACCACAATATATGTGTGCCCATGTTTATAGCACCACATTTTGTGATAGCTAAATCTTGGAAACAACTCAAATGCCTCTCAACAGAGAAATGGATAAAAATGATTTTGTATTTTTATACTACTCAGCCAGACAAAAAGATAAACTTAAGACTTTTACAGGTAAATGGGTGCAACTTGAGACCATACTCATAAGTAAAATAAATCAGACTCACATGTGTAAACATCATATTGTCTCTCAGAGGGAGAAACTGAAAGAGTAAATAAGTTCTAAAATGTTCACCAGATATTGTGAAATGGGAAAAAATTGTTCAAAAGAAAAAAGAACTAGGATGAGTGAAAGGGGAAAGGACACTAGGGCAAAGGGAAAAAATGCAAGTGGGTTATACTATTAGTGTCTCAGTTCATTAAAAAGGAAGGTTTGTGCTAATATTGATTGGAGAAATTTTTATACCCATATCTTGTACCCTGAGCAACTACTTTAAAGATAACAACACGTAATGTATTAACTATTGTTATTCTCCTATTATTTTGTTATGAAATTTTGTTTAACCTTTTTTCCATAAAATATATATTAAATGGAAAATTCCAGAAATAAACAATGAGTCTTTGATAACTTTTATTACAGCATATTGTTATATATTGTTGTTAATCTCTACACTGCCTTATTTATAAATTAAACTTTATCAAAGGTTTGAATATATACCAAAACAATACAGATGATCCCCAATTTTGATAGCTTAACTTATTATTTTTTGACAGTATAATGGATTTATGGGAACATAACCCTTAACAAATTGGGGTGCATCTGTGTAAGGTTTGGTACTGTTCACAGTTCCAGACATACAAGGGAGTCTTAGAGCATCTCTCCACAGACAAAGAGAGTCAACAGTTAGTACCTGAGCATGAAGACAGGGGCCAGGGAGTCCACTGTCCTCACTACTCATGGCATCATCAAGACTCCAAGGAATGCTTCGCTCATCCTGTCTACCTTGTAGGTTGCAGGGAAACTCCCAGGGGCTCTTCCCTAGATCTGATGAAGGGGTGGGGTGGCTGAGAGTCAAACAGCCACCCCTGTCCAATGTGGGCTGCTGCTCTGTGTTCCTGCAGGGCAGCAGTGAAGGCTGTCATATTCTTTGGTGATTGCCTCAGTACCTGGGACGGTCTTCATTGGGAAGTGGCTGGTGATCCACTACCATGCCATCAGGGTTAGAGGGCAGGCATCCTGGGCTTGTCCCCTCACCCTAGTCACTGAATGAGGACTTGTGAGGCATCAAATGGCCCCTTCCCCTTTCTGGCCTAAAAAGCAAAAGGCCTTTTGCTTATGATGTCTGCTGCCTGGTCCAAAGCCATTCTTGACTGTAGCTGATGGCAGCGCTGTCTGTATGTTTTCTAAATGATGGATTTTTGTTCTTGCAGAGGCTCTGTGTGAAGCATCACCTGCTGTTCCCCCTGGTCACTGCTCCCCCAACACATACTTCCTTTGGGTGTACATGGCTTACTCCCCAGGGCTCAGGAATCTCTCCAGATACATCCTTCAAGTCAGTTTCTCTCTCTTCTACAGAGTTCCTATTCTGTCCTAGATGAACGCAGATTGTGCGGTTCCCTCTGCTGACCATCCCTTGTTGTACTCTTTGTGTCTCCATGCTCATCTTGAATGATTCAAGGGCAAGTCTTTGTCCAGTTCATTTCTAAAGCCCCCAGCATTGAACAGAGAGTGTCAACATAAATAGGGTAGGGTGCTGAAGAGGAGCCAGCTGGGAGAAATGGCCTTTGGTGTAGGACAAACCTGTGTGCCCTGGGACCTGCAGGAAGAAAGCCAGGAGGGAGGGTCCACAGGCCAGTGATGCAATGAGGAGCACTTCATGGAGGAGGACAGCACATCAGGGCTAGACCCTATGGACCTGTTTAGAACTGAACAATAAAATGAGGCAAGAGGAGCTTCTGCAGAGAGACTTAAGGCTCTGGGTTGGGGATGCCAGTCAGGGGCTCCATGGCCTCTGCAATCTGCAGTAAGCACAGACTGAAGGCCTTGTCAGGGGAGTGGGTCATGCATTGCAAGGCTCTCACCCTGTCCTAAATGAACAAGGACTTCTAGAGTGGCAGGAAAGCAAGAAGGCAAACTTCAAATCCAAGCAGAGAGGAGGACAGCAGGTGGGGTACCTGGGCCTGGCTGAGAAGCTCCCAGATCAAGTCCTCCTTGCCGTCCACACTCCGAGCCACGACAGCGTGAGACGGGACCTTGGCCAGATGGCACTGCGCGTACTCGTCCACTGACTTCCGGGTGTTGTCTGGGCACAGCAGCTCATACTGGTCCCTGTCAGCCTTGTCAGGCAGGACCTCTGGGGAGGGGAAGATCAGAAGAGGGGACTGCACACAGAACTGTGGGCTGTGGGGCCCCCTCCCTACTGAACCACAAACTGTGTAACCTGAAGGTGACAGACAGAATCTTCCAAACACACTCACACAGAGGAGAAACTGGCAGTCTTGGCAGTGAAATGATGGGTTCACACTCCTACCTGCAGTTGGCACAGGGTGGGAGGCATGCCCCCCCAGCCCCACTTCTCTGTCACTCTGCCAAAAGGAAGGTGGCAGTAGATGTATACTAAGCACCCATGGCCCACCAAAACTGTGCTCCAGGCGTTGTGCTTGGCTTCATTTCATCTTTACAACAGCTCACAGAGGCCAACAATGTAATTAGCCCATTCTCGAGATGAGGAACCAGAGTCAGAACACTGAGGTAACTTGTCAATGTCTCAGTGAGTCTGGGGCTGACACATTCCATGCCAGGACAATCCGGGTCACCCACCAAAGCAGCAGCATCACCATGGAGGCAGTGAGTAGGCTGAGGAATGGGAGGAGGTCTAGAGGCCCAGAGCACTCTAGAAGTGTACAGAAAGAGGCCTGTTGATTTCTACTGCATAGGTATTCGAAGATGTCATGGGTTCAGCACATTTATAGGCTGCAGTCCTAACCCCCAGTCCTCAGCATGGGACGTTATTTTGACCTAGACTCCTTGCAGGCACAGTTGCTTAAAGGAAGTCATAATGGAGCAGAGTGGACCTTTAATTCAATCTGACCTATGTCTTTAGAAAGAGAAATATGGATGAGACACGCATGCACAGATGGTACCACGTGTGCATGCGGGCAGAGAACAGGGTGATGTGTCTATAAGCCAAGGAACACCAAAGATATCCAGCCATCTAGGAGGGAGGCATGGGAGAGTCTCCCACACAGCCTCGGGAGAAATGAGCCCTGCCAACACCTTAACCTTGAAAGTCCAGGACTATGAGATGATAAATTTCTGTTTCTTAAACAGCCCATTTTGTGCAGTACTTTGTTCTGGTGGTCCTGGAAAGTTGACACAGAAAGTCTATGGGGTTGATAAAATCTCATATTGAAAGACAAATGGTACAACTAGATCCTGGGAATGACTACAATTTTAACACAGCACGTTATAACCAAAATAATTTAAGTTGGGCATGTTGACACATGCCTATAATCCCAGCACTCGGGAGGCTGAGGCAGGAGGATTGCTGTGAGTTCAAGGTCAGCCTGGGCTATATAGTAAACTCAAGGCCAGTGAGACCCTATCTCGAAAAACAAAAAGAATTTAAAATTTTTGTATTAAAAGAAACAAATGATTAAGCAATATTAAAATTAAATACAAAGAACCGATATGATCCAATGATCTCAGAAAGAAATAACGTTTGAACATTGGTCACTCGAGGGCCCAGGGTGGCTGCAGCAGACTGCAGATCATCACCAACACTCACTGTACTCCTAGGCCCCAGTATGTTGTCTCCTCAACAGTCACTGTAAGAGGCAAGCAGGGGTTGTACAGAGAGCAGAAAAGTAGTGTTTGGCAAAGGTTAAATCAGGGTGCCTGGAACAACCTGCTATAACCACAGTGAGGCTGTTTATAAGTTCTCGGAGAGAGTGCTGAAAGTTCTCAGGAAGATGCTGAAAGACACTGAATAATGTAGTAACTGGAATGTTCCACGGACATAATGATTCCTTGGAACAACCTGATTCCAGGAGATGAGACCCAGAGGTGACCCCACTAATTACAAGTGTTATAAGACATGCACAACTGCCAAACCATGAGCAAACCAGGTCAGTGAGTAATAATGAAGAGACAGAGAGCTGTGAGTGGTTGGGAAAAAGGACCCTGAACTCATCATGTCAGAAAAGGACACGAGGTGGGAAGGAACTGAGGCTGGCACAGCTAGTGAGGTCTGAAAATCCCCTTCACACAGCAGACATCTGTTATAAAAATGAGCTCAGCACAGTGAATGTACATTTGAGTTTTAAAAGTTTTGAGTAGTACAGATAGATATTTAATATGAATTCTAGATATAAAACCTAGAATCTGTAAATTCTACTTAACTTATTTGCTCATGGTAAATTGTCTAAAAAATACTAAAAAGGCATTTTTTTTTCAAATAGAGAAATAAAGCAGGGAGTATAGCTCAGTAGTAGAGCACTTACCTAGCACGCACAAGGTCCTGGTTAAATCATTAGTCTCTCTCTCTCTCTCTCTCTCACACACACACACACGTAAAAGTGAAAATACAACAATAAGGAAGATATTTGTTCTTGTGTGTGGTAATAATGCCTTGTGCAGGCAGACAGGAGATTCTGACTTAGAAGGCCCACAAACTGCAAACACTGGGGTTCATGTTTGGGCCTTCCCTGCATGTCTCCTGCACCACCTGAGGTACTAGAGCAGGCAGTCCATGAACTGCTGGCTCCGTGTTTTGCATCTGGGTTTTACATGGGCCCTGACCTCCTGAACATCACTGAAACAGGTGGTCCAAGATCACTGCCAGTGCAGCCCGGGTCTGGCTCCCCTGTATGCCCTGGGCTGCCTGGAGACACAGAATCAGGTAGTTCATGAACTATTAACCTTGTAATTGGTGTCTGGGCTCTGCCTGTGCCCTGAACTGCCTGGGGACACAGGACCACTGGTCTGTGATTGTGCCACCAGTACAGCCCACTTCTGGGTCATACTTGTACCCTAAGCTGTGAGGGGACATTGGATCAGACTATCGGCTGACATCACAGTTCATGTCTGAGATGTGGGAGAACTAGGTACACTTCACCATCTGCCGGAAGACCCCAGACTAAGTGGTGCATCTCAGAAGACACTGAGGGGCAAGCCTGACTACCAGGAAAACTAGGGATACTAGTGACCTTTGCTGATCTACAAAAGAAGAGGGAGACTGAGCATTCTGCCTCAGGCAGCAAACATGACAAGACGAAGGACTAAAACACAATCTCAGAACTCCACCCCACTCAGAACAAGTCCAGGAGACATTGACATAGGAGAACTTGGTAAACACATACCTGAAATTGCTGAAATGATTGCAATGGAAATAGAGAAACAACTCCATCAGGCCATAGATGAGATCAGATCAGAAATAATCTCTCACGCAAAAAATGAAATGACAATAATAATGAAAGAATTGCTCAGCACATCTAAAGAAAAAAAATAGATGAACATAGGCACCTGATGGAAACATTAAATAAATAATATAGGCATGAACTAGAATGCATGAAACAGACTCAAAGAGATATCCAGGAAATCAAAACTTCCATTTAAAGCTGGCAAAACTGCTTGAATGATGCCGAAGATAGAATTTCAGATCTTGAAGACAGCATGGCACCTAGAGATGATGAAAGAAAGGATCTCTTAAAATCAACAAGAAACCAGGAAAAATTAATTCAACAGCTGCAAGAAGAGGCAAAGAGAAATAATGTAAGACTAATAGGAGTCAATGAAACAGCATGAGGCAACACAAACAACATAAAAAGAATATTTGCAGAAATAATAGAAAATTTCCCAAGCATGGAAACAGAATCTGATATACAGGTAAATGAGGTATATAGAACTCCAACTAGTCATAACCAAAATAAAACTACACTCAGACATATAATAATCAAGATCCCAGATCTCCAGCAAAAGAACAATATTAAAAACTGCTAGAGAAAAAAAACAGATCACCTATAAAAGAAAGCCCATCAGAATCATGGCAGACTTCTGAACACAAACCGTCCTATCGAGAAAAGCTTGGAATTAAGTATTACAGGTCCTGAGACAAAACAGCTTCCAAACAAGATTGATGTATCCTGCCAAACTATCCTTCAAATTTAATGGAGAGATAAAATATTTCCACAACAAAGAACTGAAGTG